TGGCTCTGTTCCAGCTCACCTTACAGTGTCCTACTCCAGCAGCCTGAAACACACACGGATAAAACACCTTCATAGCGTTCAGCAGCAAGGACACTCCCAGATATGATGCACCTGAGCTGCAGCTGCAACAGTTTCACACCCACAGTGAGCTGCAGTTTACAGCTGCTGATATGGCAACAGATTTACTACCTGTAGGTTGTTATTTACTTAGGTTCTTTTTCTTCTTGTTTGGTGAGTAAGACGTTCTCTACTCTCTGGTTCAGCTCTACTTTTCATGTGTTTGGCCACTGAATAACAAATGTGAAGGTGAGCTGAATGCCTGAGCGAACAGTCAGTCCTGAATCCTGAATCAGCTGAGTTGCTTCCTGTCCTCACCACATGGGCCCAGTCTGGCACACGTCCGCAGGCCGCCGTGCACCGTCTGCCTGCTCACACATTATGTAATCCATCACTGAGTCTGGGGCCTCACTGCAGCATCTTGCCTGCTATCAGAAACTGCTGACCTGCCTGCTCCTGATCAGGGTTTAACATATCGGCTGACTCACTCTCGGTCGCCTCGCGAATGTGTAGAGACAGGAGCCAGATAGCCCTTGTTAAAGGTAATTAATTGCTGAACTTTAATAAATATAGTGCTATATTCAATAAACAAGGTATTTCTAACTCTGTAGTAAATGATCATCAGCCTGTGCCTTATTGTTGCACTCTCTGGACAGAGAAGCTTCTCTTGATCAGCATTACTTTATTTAGTTGAATCAGCAGGTCAGTCCTCTTAGTTCTTGTTTCTTATTGCCTGTTGCTTTTGTACAGCAATGGAGTGGGGTGACAACCTTCATGATGCATTAAGAAAAACCTTAAAGGTTGACTCCTGGAATGGAATACAAAATCATGAAGTTTAACACCTAGGATGGACATATTTGGTTTTACTGTCTGGACAGTTATCACATCCACACCCTACTGCCTATTGCTTTATCTTCCACATCCTGTTTGCTGTTTCTATAAAGAGTGTGAGTATTTTCTTCTCACCAATTTTATTAGTTCTGCCACTACAGAGTGTCCATCCAACCACAGAGAGGCACAAAACCAAGTCACAGAAACAGGACAGATTTCAAAGGAACCAGAGGAAGTAGTAGAAGGAGCAATGAGAATGTCATCTCTGGAGACAAAGCTGGAGAGAAGGAGCTGTCACCTCAGCTGCATTTTATGGGAAAAGATCCTTAATTATGATTCATATTTGGGTTGCAGATCTGATCGATTTAAGCCAAATATTTCATTCATCACATTTTGGAGATGCACTTTTATCAGACAGTAAGTTGGAGGTGAAGTGAGGTCACAAGCTGAGGAGTAAAGAGATAAATCTCTTACAATAAAAAAGCAGAAGCTGTACAGCCACATTTCTCTCCTTTTGTCTTCTATACTGAAGCATGTTTTGTGGCGTGGAAAGTTGAAAAGTGGTCTTTGACACAACAAGCTCTTTTCTGATCCCAGTGTTCCCAGGGCATTTGGACTGTGTTGCCCCAGTGATTGATGGAGCTATTCTTATTACTGTGACCTGTCACATAAAACAGCCAGACCCTAAAAATAAGAGCAGGCTTTTCAGGACATTCATTGTTTGCTTTAGTACACCAGCAAGAATCTGGCTCCATCAGGCTCCGCCCCCTGACCACCCAACCGACCTCCAAGTTACTCACATTAGCATCAGCCATGTGCTGCTGTGGATACAAAGTATGTGAAATGTTTCAACATGTGACGGCTGGGGTGGGGTGTGCGGGGATCTCCAGGAAACGCATAAATAAATGTGGCTGAGTTCACGGAGAAGGCTGGAAGAATCCCAGGTCTGAATGTTCCTCTCCCATAAGATCTGAAGGTTCAGATCAGCCCAGAGGCTATATTTCAGTCTGACTGGTCCAACTTGTGCATACTGGGTTTTCTGCACAACCATTATGGATACAAAATGTGTAAAAGCTGAATTTTCATAGTGCAATCGTAGTAAATAATGTGATGTAGTGGCCAACCTGCTGCCGGGCTTCTTCCACATGCTTTTGCTGTGGTGGTCAGAGCGACCTGGAGCCCTCGAGGAGTTCAAACATCTTTCACATCAGACTCTTTTAAGTGATCGAGAATGGCACAGTTTAAACAAATATCACGTCAAGTAACATCAATTATAAAGGCAGTAAAAAGCTTCAGCCAATGGGAAAACTCTTCCACATGCTTACATGTATTTAAAATGGAAGCCAGAGCATCATGGTCAGCGATAAAGAGCTGAGTGGTGCTCGCACATCAGCTCCCACTGAGCCATTCGTGACTCAAAAACACTGATGTCCACAAACAGGCCGAGTGTCAGTTCATGTTCTCAGATGCAGAAAAAGCTGATCGACTGATGGAGAAGTTACACATCCTCAGAGCAACTCAAGTCAAAACTACAAGAAGCCTGTGCACATAAAAACTGATCATTCATCATTTGGTTCACTACATCTATGATCCACCCGTCTGACTGGCAGCTGAGGCTCATGGGTACTGTAGCATTTAGAGCCATCCACCAAAGAGTTTTGCCAGATAGCTGGACAGAACACAAACCTACAGTAACATTAGATTATCCTGGAGATATTTACAGAGAAGCCCTCAGAGAACCAGAGTGACGTTTACCTCATAAATGGACAGAAGAAGTGTTACAGGAGATAGCAGGCTGCAGGTGGTGCCAGACGGCAGCGGCCGCCTGCAGGATGTTGGCGGTCAGGGCCTGATGAGTCAAACACACAGGCAGACTGTGTGCTGTTGGAAATGTTGCATCACATGTTCCTGCTGTGCCACAGACTCTTCTGCTCCTGTAATGATCCTCCAGAAGGAGGGTGAGCGAGGGCAAGTCTGCAGTGGGCTGCGCTGCTCAGGGCTGTCTTCATGAGGTGGGGCTAACTCAGCCCGTTTCTCTGTTGTTACAAGTGGAGAGAAACCTGACAACAAGGTGGAACACAACCCACTTTACTCAGCTGAGGCAGTTTTATTTATTATTTTGTTGTTCAGACCTTGTTTTTGGCCATGTGCTCAGGACAGAGAGGAAACATATTTTGTCCTGTTTTAACCAGTGGAATAAACTTTAGTAAACTGGACATTCTTAGGTCAAAAACATAAAAACAATAAAGCATATAGTCACTGTGCATTCAAAAACTGTTCGCACATTATGTCTCCTATAAATGAACCAATGAACTATTTAGTGAAAGAAAGTCATTTTCCTGGGCGACTCACTTTTGATGAGTACTTGGGTATTTCTGTTTTCCTATACTTCTATTTCACTGCATTTCAGTGACAGATATTCTACATTAAAAAATATACCCTGTCAAAACCACACTTTAGAGTCCACTGCGTTTATTTGACAGCTTGTTACTTTTCAAATTAAGAGTTTCTACATAAAAAGAAGATCTGATCCCTGAGAAAAAAAAGTATATCTAAAGGTTATATTGGTTCCTCTCGGTGAGTTCTCCTCAGCAAAGTATTTGGTCAAATGAGCCCATGTTTCACCACAAACAGATGAGGGAACTCAGCCTTGTACCTGCCATAGAAAGGCTGAGGTGCAGCACCTAAGTGTTTTTGCAGAGCACCTGAAGCCGAGCAAACATAGCAGAATCAACGTACTCTAACAACAACAGGGACAATTATATGTGCTGGAAAAAGAACTGACTTTTCATTATCAGTACATGAAGTGTTGCCTACTTTCATCCACAAATATTGTGAGAATAATGGTCCAACTATGAGAGGGGGGAAAAAATTAATTTGATTAGCCACTACAGCCCCCTTGCCCTACACCACACCTAAGCCCTCTGAAAACCCCAGAACTGTGTGTTTTCTTCTTTCCTCACCCATTAATCATGTTACGACCCTCTGGAGGGGCCTGACCCCTAGGTTGGGAACCACTGGACGAGCTGGAGCAGCTCCAACAGTAAAATGCTGCTGAAGCTTTGATCACTCAGGATCAATAATCAGTCTTCAGTCAGAGGAGAGCAAAAACCTTTTCTTGTCATATTTTTCATTTCACTGGAGTACTTGTACACTGAAGGACCCCAGTACTTCTGTCACAGCTGCTGTGACTGTTACACATCTGACACAAAATGAAATGTTGTGTGTTTTCAGTCAATACAATGCCACCTCCCGTGTGCCATCACCTCTGAGGTTCAGCTTGTGAGCTGCACAACAAGGCTGAGTGTTTATGTGGTTCTTCCTCTGCTACATGGCGTCTTTACATGTTGTGTGTTTAACTATTTAAACAAAGAATCATGTGAGATGTTTTACCTTCATTTTAAAATCAGAAGCTACAAACCAGGCCTGCCATCCTGCACAGTCTTTGACAATGAGTTCTTTTATTGACCTGATTTGATGCACACTGCTCGATGTTATTCTACATGGCTTTACTTTGGGGTGCTGTGATTTTGGTAATCATTGCTGTTGCTACTGGAAACCTGAATTTCCCTCGGGATTGATAAAGTACTGAAACACAGTCTGCATGTTGAAATGATGAAAAACATAAAGGTTTAGTTGACATGTTGCATTTTGCGGCACAAAACCTGGACTTTAATACCCTACACAAAGTGACAATCCTGTATTTAAATAATCAGATGAATCCCCTTTTTCAAATACAAGGAAAATGCCTGTTAAACCTTGGCTCCTTCTGTCTCTTATCACGCTCATGTTTGGTTTGTTGGAGTAAAGGTCTCAGTTTTTCTATTTGCTGGTTCCTCCTCAGCCTCCACCGTGAGTTATATTTTCTGAATGACTCACGATGTGTCTGTGCAGGCGTTTTTCTTTTTCATCTCATCTCTTTATTTTCTTCTCCCCCTGCAGTTCCCTCAGGTCATTCCATGGGAAAAGAAACTTTTCCTGCGGCCCTGGGAGAAATACGGCTATTTTAGGAAAACACGTCACTTCTCTGAGCAGCAGCCCAGAAACTCTCCATTATTTCCATCATCCTGCTTTTCTTTTTTCCTTCCTTACTTGTTGCACAGTGCAGCAGTGTTTACCCAGAGACATGTTGATTAAAAGCGGTTCATAACTTACAGAAAAGCAGCAAGTAAAAATAAAGCTCTCAGTTTTTTGTTTTTGTTTCCCAGGCGCATGCAACATGCAGCAGACAGAACAGAGACATGACAGATCGTGCACAACCTGTGGAGCAGCAGCAGCGTTCGCGGCTGTCGTGGGAACGTCAGCAAGGTTTGGTCGGGAAACGGCTGCAGCGTGACACTGCAGAGACTCTGTCCTTTTCCCTTCGTGCGTGTGTGTTTCATGGACGGATGAAATGATGGATGGATAGAGACCGAGGCAACCCTGAGCCACAGGTATTAATTTAGGACCAAACTATGATGGAAAAACGACGGGTTTTGCTTTAAAATCGAGTGTTTTGCTTAAAATTCTTCGGCGTTCCACGTTTCCATTTACGACATTGAACTGTGTTCATCCATAACTACGTGTCCATGTTTGCAAATATGTCAGTGATAACCTTGAGCCTGTGCCACACTGGAGACAGCAGGATCGTTACGCACGACACTTTTTGTACAAGCAAAGTCTCCGAAATCCTGACATTTTCTCATAAAATACATATAGTGTGCATGCTTGTTCGTAAATATCTGGATCAGATTCATCCTAAGCATATGTGCGTGCATGTGTGTTTTTATTTCCCCCTCAGTGAAAGACCGTGCACACACACACGTCAGCTCGGGGAGGGCAAAGCCTGCTTGAAATGCAGCGAATGTGACAGTCGAGCTGAGAGTCCAGACTACAGCAGCGCGTGGTGGGAAAGGTGAACGTGGAGGGGGGGCACAAACATGCCAGCGGAGCCAGCTCACCCCCAGACGTTACGCACTGAGAAAAGCGAGAAGGACACGCGGAGACGCACAGCTGGTTTCCAAATACGCGCGGAGGTGTCGAGGGGGAACAGAGAGGACTGAGGTGCGGGAAGCGTCGCCCTTGTCCGGGGGGTTGGGGGGGATGACAGTGGTGTCCGGAGAGAACCTGGAAGAGACTGTGGCACTGGCCACGCTGTCGGCGCAGGATGTGTATGACCCAGAGAGAGTCGATAGCCAGGAGTGCTGCGAGCGGGTGGTCATCAACATCTCCGGGCTGCGCTTCGAGACGCAGCTGAAGACGCTCGCACAGTTCCCCTGCACTCTGCTGGGGGACCCGCGCAAGAGGATGCGCTTCTTCGACCCGCTGAGGAACGAGTACTTCTTCGACAGGAACCGACCCAGCTTCGATCCCATCCTCTACTACTACCAGTCCGGGGGCAGGCTCCGGAGACCCGCCAACGTGCCGATGGACATTTTCATGGAGGAAATTAAATTTTACGAACTGGGAGAGGAGGTGATTGAGAATTTTAAGGAGGATGAGGGGTTTATTAAGGAGGAAGAGCGCCCGCTGCCTGAGAACGAGTTCCAGCGGCAGGTCTGGCTCCTGTTTGAGTACCCGGAGAGTTCCGGACCCGCCAGGGGGATCGCCATAGTTTCCGTGCTGGTTATTCTCATCTCCATTGTGATTTTCTGCATGGAGACTTTACCCGAGTTTAGAGAGGATGTCAGAACGTTTAGCGAACAGACGCTGGTGAACGGAACCGTGCGCGCAAATAAGCCAAACCCATTCACAGACCCGTTCTTCATCGTGGAGACGCTGTGCATCATCTGGTTCTCCTTCGAGCTGCTGGTCAGGTTCCTCGCCTGCCCCAGCAAGCCCGCTTTCTTTAAGAACATCATGAACACCATCGATATCGTGGCCATCATCCCCTACTTCATCACGCTGGGGCTGGAGTTAGCAGAGCACCAGGGGAACGGACAGCAGGCCATGTCGCTGGCTATCCTCAGGGTGATCCGCCTGGTCCGGGTCTTCAGGATCTTCAAGCTCTCCAGACATTCCAAGGGGCTCCAGATCCTAGGGAAGACCCTGCAGGCCAGCATGAGGGAGCTGGGACTTCTTATTTTCTTCCTCTTCATCGGAGTCATCCTCTTCTCCAGCGCGGTGTACTTCGCGGAGACCGACGTCCCGGACTCGGGATTTAGCAGCATCCCGGAGGCGTTCTGGTGGGCGGTGGTGTCCATGACTACTGTAGGCTACGGCGACATGTGTCCGGTTACCATCGGGGGGAAGATCGTGGGCTCCCTGTGCGCCATCGCCGGGGTGCTAACCATCGCGCTCCCGGTGCCGGTCATCGTGTCCAACTTCAACTACTTCTACCACCGGGAGACGGAGCACGAGGAACAGTTCCAGTACACGCACGTGACCTGCGGCCAGCAGCAGCCGTCGTTTGGAGAGTTCAAGAAGAGCGACAGCAAACCGTCCCTGTCCAAGTCGGACTACTTGGACAGGGACGATGCGGACTCCATCAAGTACACCAACTGCAGCCCGCACAAAGCCTACACCGCCAAGCTCACCGATGTATGATTTTTATTACACAGTTACGCATGAGCGGCGCCGAGAGGGAGTCTGTCAGCGTCATTCTGCATTCTGGTTTGAGTTTAGACTGGCGAGCTCCTTATTTCTGCCATCAAAGGGAATCATTTAAATCACCCCGTGGATGGATTTTACAAGAATTCGCATTTACTCCCCTGTAGTCTTCCATTACGCGCGTCATTGGTGGGAAAAGGCTTAGAGAAGACCAGCCTTTAGCCAAGTGTAGCACTTTATTATTATTAGTGTTTCTCTCAGTAAATGTAATTTATTGCCCTAATGATGCAGGTTTAACGTTTACATTTGCTTCTGAGACACAACACAGGACTAGTTTATTGTAAATGTATAGACTGAGGCACCTGCTGGCTGTTGTTATTATGGTCCCGTACACACAGCTGGATATTCTATTCAGGCTGTATGGTATCAGAGTCGTGAACTTTTAGGATCATAATTTCTTCCACCCTACCGCAGATAATCTGATCCACCGCTGAGCCCCAGATCTTAGTTTATTTAATCAGGTTTACAAAGCGGGTTTCGGTACAAGGAGCCTGTAAGACAAAAATCAGGGCACAGGCACCCTGTTATTGACACGCACGCCGCAGTGTTTGTAAAAGCATTATGAAATCAGGTGCAGCTTTTCTTAACCAAGAGCGCCCCTATGTGGATGAAAGCAGACGCTGCATCTTATCAGGGGATGCAGTTTCTATAGCAACTGCCCAGACTTTTCTGTATTGTCTACAGGGCTGAAAGAAGCCGAGGCTGGAGAGACGGGGCTCAGTGAGGCCAGACAACCACCATGTTGTAGAAACCTCCATGTTGTTTGATTTCACCAGCTGAGACTTGAAGCATCACTTCAGTCTTTAACAGCCACCAATAACTGGTCATTTATACCCTATTTCAATCCAAGTATCTGACCTGCTGTCTGTGCACCTTAGTCACACAAAGGACAGGACCCACACGAGGGTCCAGATATGGGCTGCAACCCGTGATTATTGCAACTGTCTGCTATTTCAGGCTATAAAAGTGACAAAAACCAGATTAAATGCCCATCACATATTCACAGAGCCCATAGTAATATTTTTAAATTGTACATTTTTAAAGCTAGAACATCATATATAATAGTTTAGAGGTTGACTGATACTGATTTTAGAGGCTGATATGTAGGCACACTGATGTTTTAGAAGAAAGGCGAACAGTGTTCTAGCTGAGCAGTGTTCTCCTTAAAGAACTACTGTAGTTGTACTGTAGTGATAATAATGGATCAATTCTATGTTCAAATTGTCATGATAACTGGATGTCATCTATCCACTGAGGAGGATCAAACAATGCGATCAGAAGCTTCACAACAGCTACTAAACGGACGCTGCAGTGATATTTGTCATAACCAATCAACTGAATGGAAAACATCCGTTAGTCACATGACCCAAAAACAGAGAAATTCAGATCTGAATTTATAAAGTTTAAGTTTCTAAATTTCCAAATGACCCTGAAGAAAAACACCAAATTTAGACAGATGGCATCATTTACAGTTCAACATTAGGTGTTTAATTACATATAGCAAATTATTTTGGCACATTTTCCTTCCATATCGCTGCACTGTGTTTCTGTAGTGACTGACAATATTATGGGATGAATTACATAAAAGCCCTGAATCTTAAATGTCGACTGATTTCATCACTCTGTGAGATTAGAACTAGAGAGAGCAGCTCACCTGCTGGATTCGAGGTTTCCATAATTAGCTCAACTGGACTCTGGGGACAAATCATTCAACCTAACCTCCTGGAAAAAAGGGGGACTTTTTTAGCAGACTGATGGAATATCAAATGGACCGAGCAAAGGTTTTCATCACAGGTGTTTGTTGGATTATCTTCTGACGGGCAGATGTGTGGAGTTTAACTGCTGAGACATTAACACACAGACTGACGGACGACACTTCAGTTCTGACGACATCGGCTTCACAACACGGAGAGAGGCTCCACACAGAGGTGAGTCCACCTGAACACAACTGCACTCACACAGCCAGAACCAGGACTGGACATCAGCACTTTGTCCAGGGAACTTCAAATGTTCCTGTAAGTCAACAACACTGTCAACTCATTTCCTGGTTATAAAACTGTGGCACAGCTCTTTAGTTTTCTCTGCAAAAACCGGCTGCAGATGAGACTGTGGACTATTCGGGCATTAATGGGGGTGAGGTTTGGTTTGTTGTGTATCCAGTCTGCCAGTGATTACAGCTGGGAGTAATGATCATTTTGATTACCAATTTATCTGCCACTTATTTTCTTAGTTCATCATTTAGTCCATAACATGTAAGTAAACTGTGAAAAATCTAATTGCATCCAACAGTGCAAACCACTAAAATATTCAATTTATTGTTACAGTAAGGTAACAGCTATTAATATTTTTGATGAACTGGAGGATTTTTGGTATTTTGGCTTTAAAAACAGTGTGAAGCCACAGCAGCAGGAGGACTTCAGTCTCTCATTTCAGATGGTGTCCAGTTGGAAGCTCTCAACACCTCTATGAAATACGCACCGTTTGACAGCACAAAACCTCAGAGTCCATGGTTATAAAATCCTATCACTGCACCAGCGGTTGCATAGTAGACAGCGGTAACATCTCACATCTTTCCTGTGTTTGTGCCTCTGTCAGTTTGTTTCTGACTTTTTAACAGTAACTGTCCAAGAGTTCCTCCCCAGAGCAGACCAGGATCAAGATGCATCCAAAGTGCTTATTAAGAGTCACAGTTGTTCAGCACTAATGCAGATTAAAGGCATGTTAGGAAACCTTTAAAGCAAGCCACCTCCATCCCTGTTTCTTCTCTGTAGTTTCACAGCATCAGAGATGATCTGGGATGTGAGACAGTCACCTGATCCAGAGAAAATCACCCAGCCTGCACGGTGAAAAATCTTTGCTTCAGCAGATTTAACTTTCTAGTCCAAAATCATTTTGTCAAAGGCACGATCCACTATCCAGCTAGTGTTCACCACTACAGGTCACAGCACAGGACCAGAACTTGATGACACTCATCAGGCCTGATTGTGTTAAGTGTTTGTATATATTTTCACTCATGATGAAAGTTTATTATTTGCAGAATATTTTAGGACTCACTAACGTACAAATAACTGAGGGTTTTGTCTACACTAAAAACAAACACCTTTCTACCCTCAGCCTCACTGAGACCTGCAGCATCCCTCTGTGTCCACTTGTCACACAGAGCAGCAACACTGCCATCTGCCGGCAGGGGGCAACCGCTGCTGTGGGAACTGTGTACAGCTGTTAGAGGAGGCCAGCAGCTGGAGCTTCACTCTGCTGGATCAGCTGCAGCTAGATGAAAGGGACTCAATGAGGAGGGCCCACATAAAGCTGTGTTTTCAAATCAGAATTTCTTTAATGAATATCATCAGTCTTCAGATTAAAAGAGCAGCTGTGTGGAAACGTAGGGAGGGCGGCTCATTCAGCACGTGTAGAGTTACAGCATCACACAGTCCATGTGGACACCTCTGCCTACTTAGAAACCTGTGTCTGCTTTTCACCTGCAGCTGTTTCTCATGGTTTGGGCTGGGTGACTCCAGAACCTATCTTTGTTGCTGTGGTTCACATTAATTCTTATGTGTTTGATTCGTATGCTCAGGCCGATGTGAAAACAGTCAGTCAAATTCTGATTCTGGCTGTTTGTGGTGCGAAAGCAAAGCAGATCAACCTGCAGGATTTCTGGACAGCAGATTTTAGCATAAAAATAAAATAAACCATTAAATGTATTTGTTTATTATGAGAATGGTCAAAGAAGCAATCTGTGTAAACAATACAGGCAAAATGTTTGATGTGCATGTGTATATTGGATGGTGCACAAACTCCAGGCTTGCTGTGGGCTAATGATCTGATCTCTGTGCACATCTCACTGTGTGGGACTGTGTAAGGTCAGAGAACTTAGTCAATACTGATTCAACATGTCTGATCAATGCACCCTGTTTCAACTGGACTAACAAGTGCAGCTCCATGAAGAAATGGTTTTCCCAGGTTGGTGTGGGAGTCTGACCTGGGCAGAACCATTTCAGAGCTTTTTGTTTGGAGAGTGTAGTTTCGAGTGAACTTTACAGATTTGGAGGTTAAGTCTTTCTTCCTGTCACCAAAGTGTCATCATGTGTCTCAGTGCAGATACAGACGCTGCAGCCACAGAGAACGAGTTTAACCCCTTTGGAGAAAATGACTTTATTGAAATTTTTTTACAATATAAATTGATTTCTCTGTGTGGTATACACTAAAACAGGAATATTATTTACAGGTAGGGTTAGTGATCCTAGAAATCCAGCAAGAGGAAGCTCGATTTTGAAAATAGACAACCGTCATTTGACATCCCTCTGAAGCCACTCCTCTAAAACACAACGTGCATTGCAACGTGCACTGCCTGTCTGTGAACCAAAGCTGCTGTGGCCATAGCTTGCTAGCTTTAGCTATTAAAACAATGTATGCCTGCAATGCTTTGTGGGAGATTTTTGGCTCCTGCATTGAGTGCACAGGCAAGGTGCGTGCAAGTAGGAAGTAGGTCAAGAGGCAGATAGGCCGTTCAATGGTTTTGCTTGGGATAAGTAAAATTATTGGTCAGGCTTTTTCATCCCTGCTGCTGCCACAGATAACAAGCTTGTGTTTTTCTGTTGTCAGTGCGTTTAATGTGTTCATTGGGATGAACGGCGGGCTTGGTCATGTTTTTTCATCCCTGCTGCTGCCACAGATAACAAGCTTGTGTTTTTCTGTTGTCAGTGCGTTTAATGTGTTCATTGGGATGAACGGCGGCCTGGTAATAAATGACCTGTGACCCGATACCGGGCCATGGACCAGAGGTTGGGAACCTGTGTTGTAGTGTCTCCAGTGTTTAAATCCATAGATACAGGGGTGTTGCACTACCTGGAGTTGAAAATATTTCCTAACAAACATGTTTGCATCTGTAGGAAAATAAACCAAGTTCAGAGTGAGTTGCCTGAAGCACAGGCTGGTCTCCCACCACATGTCCACCATGATCCAACAAGCATCACGCTACCTTATTGTGTCCCCCCGGTGAGGGCTTCTGCTCACAGTCTCTCCCTGGAGTCACCCCCTCGTCCTCCCGTCCTCTCTGAACACATGCAGCCCGTGCAGGCGGAGGTTTCCCCTTAGATGACACTGCTGCTGTTGACCGGGCAGAGTTACACTCTGACAGCTATTGTTGGTGTCTTTGTCACTGCTAAGAGACTCTGTCCTGAAGCCTGCAGTGAGTTACACCACCCACCCACCCAACCCTGTCCACCCAACCCACTCCTCCTTCCACTTCACAAAAAACAAACGGGCACAGACTAAAACAGCAGCAAGGAGGTAAAAATTGAGGATGTGATCATATTTAGTGCGACAAAGCAACCAAAGGTCATTCTTTTCTTTGGAAACATCCTGAAGTCAGAGTCCCAGTTCAAGGTCCATAGAACAGACTGCAGACAAAATGGCAGGCTGCCGACCTCTGGCGGGAGGAGCCCGGATTAGCGAACGGGCACAGACTAAAACAGCAGCAAGGAGGTAAAAATTGAGGATGTGATCATATTTAGTGCGACAAAGCAACCAAAGGTCATTCTTTTCTTTGGAAACATCCTGAAGTCAGAGTCCCAGTTCAAGGTCCATAGAACAGACTGCAGACAAAATGGCAGGCTGCCGACCTCTGGCGGAAGTAGCCAGTATTAGCTGTAAGTTGTTCACCTTGGTAGGTTCACAGCCAAGGTTAGGGTTAGGGGGGTCAGGGGTTATGTTAACTTGGTAACCCACCTTCTGAAAAAAAGTAAACTTTCAGCTGAGGTTGACAGTGCGTGAATCTTGGGGCACATCCCAGCTCACTCAGTCACATCCACGTTTCCCTGACTTGTGTCTTAGTACCACCCATGCAAGACACAACATGCTTTGAGATGTTGGCTCAAAGGTCAGGCCTGTGCAGGGCCAATGGACACGTAAATCACCCAGTTATCCAAAAACCCTGCAGCTTGATGTCAGTGAACTAAATCTCATCATCGTTACTTTCATAGACTTTGATTATCCCTTTTTATGTCCTGCTCTTTTCTTGCTCACAGATGCCAGCTGATAATACCTTGTAGAATTTACTGGAGTGAAGTGCAGCGTAACAAACTGCAAAGAGCAGTTTAGAAATTCCATGTGGTACACATCTGGTTCGACTGTGTCTGTTTATGGTCCATCTCGCCACCTGACTGATTGTCCAGGTTCAAGTTCATCAAGTCGTGTGTAGAGAACATTGTTTGGCCATCTGTGGTTGTGTGTCCATACCTGACACCTGAGATTAATGAGGTGAATCTACAGAGTTGCAGAGGGCCCCAGGCTCAGGTTGTTACAGGTAATGAGTGCCTTCTAGTTCTGTCTTACTCTCCCTCATAAACATTTATAGAAAATAAAGATACAACATTTGGTTGACAGACCAACATCAGCAAATATTCTGAATCAATTTATCATTGAATCATTTTAGTCATTTTTAAATCAAACATTCCAAAGATTTGCTGCTAAAAGCTTCTCAGGCATTTTAATGCTTTTCTTTGTCATATCTGAGTGTAAACTAAAATGTTTTGCTTTTGGACTGTTGGTTAAGGAAAACAAGCTTTCTGAATACACTGTCTTAGGTTTGTGGAAATTTTAGCAGGAACCTTTCACTATTTTCTGACATTTAACAGACAGAGTGATTCATCGAGAAAAAAGTTGACATAATCAAAAACTCGGTTAGACGTAGCCATAACGTAAACGTAAAATCTTCATGTATACACATATGTGACACATGAGACAGGGGTATATGTACCATTACATTGTTTAAGAACAATGGCTCATTCTTCTTCCACTGACAAGCCTTGGCATTAGCTAGGTTTGTGGCTAAAGAAGTTAGCAGCATGTCAGCATTGTTGCTTGTTTACTGGTTGTTTCACAAAGGCAGACACTAAGTGTAAAGGGGTTCACTAGTTTCCTGAAACAGCTATTCACTTCTTTTTAAATGAAGAAATAGTCGAGGACTGTTTTCAGTGGTGGATGAATCCACATTTGATGAGTGTGTGTGGCAGAAGGAAGATGCAGTGTGTGGTCACTGATGGGTTGGACTAGTGTCTGGTCACAGTGGAGATCAAGCTGTCAGACTAAATGCTAGAATCAAGACATGCCTGTTTCCAAACACAGTACACCAATGTTTCTGTTGTGCAAATGTGCAGGTCCAAGTTGAACACTCTCCTACCACACTGGATTGATCACCTGAGACTGAGCATGTTTCCCTCTTTACTGTCAACTTTCATTTTAATGTTTAGGGAGAAAGAACAGACTCAGACTGTATTTATAAATTAGCAAAAAGCCCTGAGGCTAGGAAACTAATAGAAGTCTTTATTTTCCAGGGGCAGAACAAGGAGCCACTCCTCCACTATGCTTTGTCAAACCAAAAGAGTACAACATCCTTGCTACCACCACTCCTCCTCCTCCTCCTCCTCCTCCTCTTCTTGATGAAGTAAAACAAACTCTGGATAAAAGCCCTGACGCTCACACAGAGCCAGGAGACGTCTTTGCATTACAGCAGCATCCTGGCTGCTGTTTGCACAGAGTGAAGCTACATTAGAGATTCCGAGGTACGACACACGTTACTTGAATCATCGTGCTACATGTCTGCTGGCTAACAGAGTCCTCCAAATATTCAAGAACACGTTTTTCAGGAGACTGCTCCTGTTGCTGCAGAGAAACCTGTTAAGTCCTGTCTGTACATTGCATAATCATATTGAAGCAAAAACATAATATTGTATGCTTTGAAAGTAGAGCATATGAACCGAAGAAAGCAAGCCTCAACCCAGCAGTTCTACTTTGAAATATGGGAACAACAACCACAACTCATCAATATCTGTTCAAATGATAATTCTGTTTGACTAACAGCGCAGTTAGTTGATAAATCTCTACTTTTTACTTTACCTTCCTAATATATACTTTATCATACTGTATATGTTTTATAAGGAGAGGAATTGATTTAACCTCATGAATTATTTTGCAGGTTTTTAACATTTTTCTAATGTGTTTTGTTTTGTTTTTTTGCCTTGGTAAAAAAGATGCAGCTCCTGCGGGCAGCTCTGATGAAGATGTCTGCCTGCAGAAAACACTAAAAAACAAAAAAATCATCTGCCCCCAAAAGATGAATGTTTGTGCTAGAGATGAAAACAAAGACAGCTGAAATGCATTAACTACAGACATTTGACATCTGATTTTCTTTCAGTAATTTTGAATGTTTTTGTTTGGGTTTTTGATCAGAATGCTGTAATATCTGTTCTATCAGTAACATCTACCTCGTTACCAACAGAAGCTTTAACACCTGAATGATGATGTGTCCCTCCATTATCTGACCATGGTTGTGTTTTTAAATGCCTCTCTGTAACTGCCTGGTGTATATAAGTAAATCCACACACTCTATAAACTGCCATTTAATAACTTAGTAAAGTCCTAAAAATGCTAAAGATGCCAGAAGAAATCATCACAATTAACTACGGTTGAATACATATGAAGCCAGCATTGGCTGTTTAATGGAATGTCATTGAATATCATATGTCATCCAGCCTGATATGATTGTTTCCTTTGCACATTTATTAATTTATTTGTGAAACTGTAATTGTTAAGTATGTGTGAGAAAGTGTGACTATTGACAAATAATTGTTGATTTAAAAGGCAATAATGTGCTGTAGAAGGTTTCCTGCCATTTAATAGGTGGTCAGCCTGTCTTAAAGAACCGCTAAACTGTTTCACTACACTGAGGTTTTAGTTGAAGTGAGATGGAGTTAAATGTCAGCTGATGATCTAAAATGTTTGTTTCGGAGAAGAAAACTGTTCTGGGGTTGATGTTTACTCCTTGTCAATTTCACACTGGTGTCAGATAAAGGAATGGTTGGCCACTTTGGTAAATTGTCTTGTTAACTGTCTTCACTGTGTTTGAGGAAAACTGAGTTTTATCACAGTGTCCCAAAAAAAAGATAGGCCGAGGACACGTTTAGCCTAACTTAGCCTAGCTTAGCACAAAGACTGGAAGGACGTCTATCAAAACCTAAAAGTATTCTTATTCAAACATTGAAGGATAAGAAATCTAAAAATAAGACATTTTGATTTTAAGTGCAGGTTGCAATGGAGCCAAGTGTAGACTGACTGCCGCTGTGATAACACTGAAAAACGTCATAAAATATTCCATCCACAGTCCAGTTAAAATGCCTGGTTTACACATACAACGCAGGCCCAGGACACGGTTAGTCTAGCTAGCACAAAAGCAGAGGAGAAACCGCTGCCCCAACAGCTAGCATAATTAATGCTACGTTAGCTGCTTTGCAGTTGTGGTTGTTATGCCGCACTTACACACACTGTTAGGAGAAGGGGAAGAACATGAAAACCATATGTTATTCTGACCTAATTTCAAGATGGTTGCGTTACAATTAGCTATATAATAACGCATTTAAATAGCTCCTTTTGTTGTGTTATGTAGACCCTTTAAATATTAGGAACAACAGTGGTGATGCTGATAGATCAGTGAACATTCTGCAGTTTGTTTCCTAGAGTTTGAAGATCAGTTTTATCTCTGTGCCTAAGTTCATCTGAAATGTCTTATTATAGAAATATCACTGTCACAAATGTATTTTCCAATGAAATTCAGCATTTTAAAAAAAGTATCCAGTATCATAAATACATTTCAGGCAACTGTAACAAATGAAGCTGCTGGAAAATCAGCTGATCAGTGAATCATGATTTTAATTGTGGATAGCCTTACGTACATGCATTATGAAGCGCCGCTTCCTGTACCAGCTGCTGCTCATGAATACTCTGCTGTTTATACTCAATCTGTGGTTTCCAACTGCTTGCACTCGTTGCACTATGCTAGACTAAACACTATGCTAGACATTGTTCCCAAAATGTTTACCTCTTTATTATCATCACAAAATGTTGGTACCATCAACCCTCCAGCATCAACTCTGCAGTTTGGTCGGGCTGTAATTCTGCTTTGCTTTGACATAAATCAGCCCAGGGAGATTTCAGTTTGACAGTCACTGGTGAGTGGGCATTAGCTGGGAGCATTAATGTATTCTGCAGAGTGTATGTGCAATATTAATAATATAACATTTCGCTAGCAAGTGCAGCAAAGTCCTGAAAGACTTGTCAGATTTCCACATATTTAACCATCACTTTGATACATGTAACATCCATAGTGATCTCAGACATCTTCATGCTCCATTATCAGCTGCAGAGTTCAGTTCAGGCATGTCAAGAAAATGTCTCATCTTCAGGAAAAAATAAAAAGCAGCAATGGCGTTTGTGTGTGTGTGTGTGTGTGTGTGTGTGTGGGAACTTCAGTGTGGAAGCAAAATACATTTTGATTTTTATTCTTCTGTTCTTTTATTTCCAGTTATTGTTTATGTCATGTTTATTTTGACAGTTTCAATTGTGATTTATTTTTGATAAAATAAATCTAATCTTGGTCAGTTTCAATCTGGTGCAGTCAACTGCACATGCAATTTTCTGTTTCCTGTGTCTTCATGTGCCATAACATTTCCACAAGATGAAACAGACGGGTTGAAATTGCTATGAATGGGTGTTTTTGTGTGTGTTGTTAGTAAAAAATGCCACATATTCAGTTTTACCTTCATGCATCCTTTGGTTACTCGATGACCTTCTCAAACTCTGACAGGGAAACTGTGACTTGAGTGCCACTTAATATCAATAAAAACTACATGAAGGAATGATCAAGCTGCTGAAGAACTGGAAATGACAAAGAATTGTTGCAACTGTTCAATAGCATAACCCCCAGAGTTGTGGCTACTTTTTTTCTTTCTTTTTTTGTTTTTCAAGCATGTAAAGACAGTCGATATGTCAACACACATAATTTCACACATATCCACAAATGCTAATCCATTATCAATTTGCTTATACCTAGTACATGCTTGAACAGAGTAGGAAGAAGTTAGACTTATCTAGTCCTACCCCATGACATCATCTTACCATCATTGGTTTGCAAGCAGTA